ATTATATAAATAATATGGGTGATAATTTTCTTTTACGTTCTAATCCTGCAAAATACCTATGTAATTTTTCTCGAAAACAATTAATGAAATTTACTCAAAATTAGACGGCCTTTTTGTAAAATTTTCTAATTACCTGTCTTTAGTTGTAAGTTATTAACAATGTATTTTTTTAAAAAACTGCAATTAAAAAAAATATCAAATTTTTAACCTATAAGAGCAATAAAACCCTTTAGACCTCTAGAAATTTCACGATTCCTAGATACAATTTATTACCCATAGTGAAGTGTACATTTGAAAAAAATCGTTCAAATTAAAAAATAGTTATAGCTAAATATTAATTATTATCCATATTTTTTATTCAAAGCAATCACCCCCCGGCGCGGTGTGTCGGGACCCCCGTGATTGAGAGTTAGCGGGTCTGATCAGTCGGACTACGTACTAGATCTGTTCAGAAAATAACTAAACTTATAATTAAAGATCATTTCAACTGAAGGACTGCTTCGCGAATTGGGAGCACCACTGGCAAAAGTGAGTGATATGGGAAGGGAATACTTTGAAGGAAACAAGAATCAATAATGTATAAAACTAATGATTAGAGTTCGGGACTCGGTCGGATGATCATAGCCGTCGCGTCGGCATTTCGCTACAGCGCATTGTACGAGACCGGTAATAACGGCAGTCAGTGCCGTAACAAGGTATAGGCAGAGTAGGCACACGCCAATGGGCGCAAACTGCTAAGGGCGCATGGAAAGGAGTTGAACAGAAAAATTTAAATTATTGAAGTTGTAGTATTTTGAACCTTCAACATCGCTGGACTATTGTAGTCTCTAGCGTCATTCGCGTTGTAGACTGTACGCAATACGTTCTCCACGAAGCCCCCGACGATTCCGAATACTGAAATGCGTTAGTGTTTACATTAGTTCTTTAAGTACAACAATGGTTTACGTGTATAGCAACTCGGGAATTGATGGATATCGTTTTAATTTAAGGTGAAGCAAGATGGGCCCAAATGTGTATACACGCCGGTGGACAAAATTTTGAACAGTTGCTATAATTATTAACTAAAACCATAAATTAATTGTATTAATTAATAATAACAATAGAGGCAAATGCAGTTGAATTTGTTGACGTAAAATAGATGTTATAAAATTTTATTTATTTTTTCTTTGGGGAAGAAATTCTTTCAATATTTGTATCCGTTCATTTTTTATCATTTTCGAACTGTCCTTTCTGATTTTTTTTACAAAGTTGTAGATATTTGTAAGAATCCCCTGTAAGTTCAACAATTTTTCCCCTGTATATTAACTTATTATGTTTTCTGTCTTATTAGTAGATTTACTTTTAATTTTTTTTACAAATAATTAGGTACTTATGTATTTATTATTTTTTTGTTTCTACAGTTGTCTTTGAGTGTGTTTGTTTATATATTAGAACATGTTTTATAATGATGTGCGAATATTTGAAGAAGATGTTTAGAAAGTAATTTAAGGGGGGAGGGGGTACTTCCCAAATATTTTTTTTGATTTGACCCCACCCCCCTGAGAAAATATTCAAATGTCAAAATATCCGAAAACATTAGCTTTTATTTTTTTCAAGAAAACGGTTAAACTTAGAAATTTGAATTTTGGTACACGTTAACAACTAGTTGAATGGTATTTTTTGGTACTCTTATTTTTCTGGTTTATGTCTTTGAATGAAAGAAATTATCACCCCTTGGTTTTATTTCTCTCACAACTTTTTTCTACGTTAGCCAGTTCCAACAAGAAAAATAGTTTTTAATAAATACTACATTTCATTTAGAAACTTTTTTTACTCTTCCCATTTTTCCGTATACTTAATGGTTTACGAGCAAAAAAATAAATTATTTTTCCTTGCCGATTAGGTACACATAATTAATATAACAGTTACCAGAAACGATCGTCATTTTTGACATGATTTTGCAAAAATTCTTTTTTTATTAATAGGAAAAGCTAAGCAAATATGAATTAAAAATTTAATAAAAAAAAATGAAAGCTACTTTTTTCGGCCATTTTGAGATTTGAATATTTTCTCAGAGGGAGCTCAAATCGAGCAAATGTATTGGAAGTACCTCCCCTAAAATTACTTTTTGAACACCTCCGTAAAATATTTGCACATCATTATGAAACACCCTGTATATTAAGTGAAACAATGTATCATGTTTTATTTTAGTTTTTATTACATTTTTAAAAATAAAATGTTTGTTTTTGAGTTTTTGCTTATTTTTAACAATTAAATAGGGGCACAAAATTAAAACCTTACCTCTAGTAAAATTTCTTCTAGTTACGGCACTGACGGCAGTTTTTGGCTTTGCGTTTGCTTCGTGTATACGTGTTTTAATATTCTAATAATATCGAACGCGTCAAGGGGTAAAAAAGATCTTTCGCAGATAAAGTACACAAATCTATTTATTTTTATTTATACCTACCTGTTTATTTATTTGTTTACGACGAACACGCTTATGGTTAGCCGACGAAAACCCCGAACTCTAATAATAATAAAGTTTAAAAAAATAAAATTCGGTTATTCTTTGATCAGGCCTCGTACATAATAGGTACATAACCGATAATTTTTAAAGATTAAAGATTAAAGTGAATCTTTTCCAAGAAAAATTTCCCGTGGCACTATAAACGCATAACTTGCTGCTGTGGAAAGGAATCAGTTTTAGAAATGAAGAAAATGATGCCATCAAGCTAACTATGGCGGCGAACTAGACGCTCATAAAGCAAGATACGGCATATGGTCATTTCCGCAATACCTTCGGTATTTATTATATAAGATTTCCATTAGTCGACCGTGCCGTCATTTCATGCCAGTGGTCATCTTATCCGACGGCCTATAAATCGACCACCTGCTGAATTGCATTTGCTGATAAATTCTTGTTAATGCACTATAAATATTTACCGCAAAAAAATGGTATCAAGTGATTTGTCCCGTAGTGATGATATATTGTACCTAGGAATTTTTTAATCCGATGCAGCTCACACTTTATTTATTGATATTGCTTTTATGAGGCAATGTGGCATTCGAAAGGCGATTCAAGGAAAATTTTTCGACCTGCCATAATTTCTATGTAGCATATATATATCTATACCTAATAAAATTTGGTTTAAAAGCGTACATTATCTGTAAAAAGAGAAAATGCAAAAAAAGTAATTTCGAGAAAAAAAATAGAATAAAAGAAGATCCCACCCTAGAACCTGTCTCATATATTTGCATATTGAAAGACGATTTTTTGAGAATTTTTTGAAGAAAAATACATGCTACTCTTATACAAAAACCACTTTTTTGGTTTAAAAATAAAACTACATCTCAAAACGAACAAAATGAAAAAAAGTTTATATCTTTATGTTTTGCCAAGTTACAGGAATTTGAAAATATTTTATCCAAAATATATTGCTCATAACTTTTTAGGGGGTTGAAATAAAAATTTGAAAAAAATTCATGAAAGCTACTCTAAATGGGTACTAAATAATACCAAAAAATCAAGGAAATTAAAAATGGTCCGGTCACGACCTCAATGATTTGACATTCAATACCCCACACGTTTCATCGCATTGATAACGGTTCTGCGCCTAGCAAGACCGTAATGCTTTTACACATGCAGAGCGATTGGTTCGTCCTTGTGATTCCCGAACGTTATGAATAAAATACAATTTTTTTACGAATGTATTGTGTATAGCGACATCTACATAGACATTGTTAGAGGAAATGGGGTTCCAATTTCTAAACTTAATAATTCATTAAAACAGGCGCCTTCGCCATTTTCTCGGATATGTATTAAATACTATAAACTGACTGATTTTTGTGAATTTATGAAAAATATTATGGTTTGTTGTTAAACGCGAGTAGATTAGTATACGAATTCCGTTGTCCCTCTCCATTCAGCATTTTTGTAAAACTTCTTCATTTTAAATATTTGTTAAATTCAAAGTATGTTTATAGTTTTATAATTTCTTACTTTCATAGTTCTAGTCCGATATCTAGAAACGGACGTTATGTAGTTTCAGAAATGGCAAATTTCTAAGCATAGATATCCTTAATGAGTGTTACCTTGTACCAAATCTTTCCCAAGCATCCACCAGCGTCTCCAAGAGACTAAAATTTTATAGTATTAATATTTGCAAACCGATAATAGTCTCAGTACCTGAACTGGAAAATGCCGACATAATGATTATCCGGAAACAAACACTCGAGAAATTGGTGCTTCATTTAATTAAATCACAAACCAACTTGAAAGATTTTTTAATATCAGTTTTATCCGTACCATATTCAGCAAGTGCAAGTATTATTGACACATGGTTTTCTTCGATGGTTAAATTCATTTCAAAGCTGTATATGGTCTTTGAATATATTTAGAAACCTGTCAACCGTATCTAGTAATGCTATCTAAAACAACACTCACATTTTTGGCGGTCTCTGATACTGCTACTGATTATTATATTGGGTCTGTTGTCAAATATGTATTAGCGTTGCTGATTTCACAGGATACAACAACGGATTAAGTTACTTTGAGGTATTTAAATCTTCATTTAGTGTATGTTTTACCACCTTGTAATAGTTTTTAAGAAAAGAATAGTAAATTTGAGTATCATCTACGTATTAATTGTTAAAAGAAGAAGAAAATAACTTATGCAAACTAAATAACAGGGATCCCAAAGTAGGATCTTGGAGAACTACTTTTTATAGTAGTCTTTTCATTCGATCTTGTATATGCTTGTATATTTGAGGAAAATCTTTTTCATTAATTATAGAATTTATTCAAAGGTTGCTCCATTTATATCTTGAAAATTAAAGGCGATTCTGTAAAAAATGTCATGCTACTTCTCTTTTAAACACAAACGAATAATTTTCGCCAAACAGAGGTGTCCAACATATTTTAACTTATAAGTATTTTCTAACATATGAATATATTTTGAGAGATTGTTAAACGGAATAGTTTGCATATTTCTTAACGATAAAGAAAGTGTTGGTTGACTTACCATGAATATCATCCACACATATTCGCAGATCCTCCCTGAAGGCTGGCAGGTGTGGGTGGCAGCGACAAGTGCACAAATCCGTTTCCGAAAAAGCCGTTGCTGTGCCACTGCTCATACCAACGCAAGTGTCTTCCGTGCAAAACGAGTTTGACTCTGAAAAATAATTTAATCAACTTAAAAACACGCAACAACTATAAAAATAATAATTATAAAGTTTTGCATTACCTTCCAACTCTAGGAAGTCATATTGAATTTTTTAAATTCTATATGCTGTTATACAAAGCATTGTATTAATAGGTGAATGTTACATTTTCTTTACGTAGGTACCTATTTAAATTTTAATTTGATAAAATTTTATTTATGGAATATGAATGTGTGAGAAAAATTTAAAAAACGGTTATTTGTAATATATCAGTTGATTATGAAAAAAAAAAATTGCAAATATACATGCAACCCTCTTCGAGATCCCAGTGTCAACAATCCATAATTAATTTTTTTATTTCGCAATTTTTTTTCTTCATGAAAATTCTTTTTGTGGACCTAGAAATCACCCCCTAAAAATGGCATGGACCCTCCACTTTATTATCAGAAAATGAACAATTTTATATTCACTTTAATTTTTCAATTTTTATTTCAAGGAGAAAACATTTTGACCTAGACTAGAGGGAAGCGATAGAAATCCAGAAAAATCGAAATAATTTCAATCAAGAAGAAAGATTTGAACTGCCTTGAATTTGGAAAAGATTAACCCCAAAAATCAAAGCCCTCGACGACATAGACATATACAGCGTGGTAAAAAAGTTCTGCATAAAATTCATATTTTCGTTAAACAATTTTTTTTTCGAAAAACGGTGAGACCCGTCGATTTTTATTTGATCCAGGGCACCTTGTTATGTGGAAAAATTTTTTTTTCGATAATCCACTTACGGCAGCGATGACATAATTTTTTTTTAAATGACAACGCATATTTTTTTCGTTCGAAATTGATGACAGTGATAATTATCTAAACAACGGTGTGAAAATTTCGATGTCTTACATAACAATTTTTTTTAGAAAAATGCACCTTAAGTTCTTGAATGCAATAATTTGCTGTTTACGGATCAAATGCCTTAGAAAAAAATTTATTCGGCAGAAAGCATTTCAGATAACTTAAGTTGCAACTGGTGTTATGTAATATTTGCGGAATTATTCATCAGATATTGTCAGGATCCTGATTAAACTGCAAAATTTAGAACCAAGTTCAACCGCACAAAATCCAAATAGTATGTAGCAAATTAAGGTCGACTTTTTGTCTTCGAGTTTGCCGATAAATTCCTAAAAAAAAAAGATCCAAAGAAATGTTTACTTGAAAGGAGTAGATTACCTGAAATATTGAAGACTAAAAATCAGTACCGATTTAACATTCTTTGGTGAAATCGTTTAATTCGAAATGGCAAAACTTAGTGAACGCGAAAGAATTGATATTTTGAGGATGATTGGTTTCGGCGATAAGTTACGAACCCATCAAGAAGCTTGCCAATTATTTAATGCAACGTACCCTGACAGACCACCAATTACGCAATCTACGGTTAGTAGGGTACTGGCAAGGTTTGAGGAAACTGGTAGTGTGAAAGATGCTCCTCGTGCGGGTCGTCCTAGAGTAGATGATGAAACTAGATTGAATATCCTGGTGGAGCTCCAGGACAACCCTCATTCTAGTACAAGGTCGATTGCATTGAACAATGATATTTCACATGTAACTGTGGTGAACTTTCTCAAAAAAGAGAAATTTCACCCCTATAAGGGTCACTTGATACATGCATTGACTGAGGACGACCCAGACCGCCGTCTCCACTTTTGTGAAGATTTAATGCATCGATGTAACGGAGACCCCGACTTCCTCAAGAACATAATTTTTTCTGACGAGGCTACTTTTTATCTTAATGGATCGGTGCATCGACATAACTGCCGGTATTGGTCTCAGGAAAACCCGCACTGGGTGCAAGAAGTAGATCATCAGCACCCCCGAAAGGTGAACGTTTGGGCGGGAATAATAGGGCGTCGTATTTTAGGCCCGTATTTTTTCGAGGAAAATTTAACTGCTGCTCGCTATTTGGATTTCCTGCGGTTCGATTTGGTCCCAAGCTTAGCAGAGTTATTCCCGAACAACGAGGATCCTGATATTCCTGAGGAAAGAATTTGGTTTCAGCAGGATGGTGCACCGCCCCATTATGGAGTGCAAGTACGGGAGTACTTGAATAACACGTTTACTGGCCGGTGGATCGGGCGACGCGGAACAATCGAGTGGCCTCCGCGTTCGCCTGATTTAACACCTCTAGACTTTTTTTTGTGGGGCTATTTGAAATCGCGTGTGTACACAAACAGACCAGGTGATTTGGAAGAACTTAAAAACCGTATTCGTTTTGAAATAAATCAAATCGACCCGGGAATGCTTGAACGAAGTGTAGACGGCGTTTACACACGCTTAGGACAATGCCAAATGGTACAGGGTGGGCAATTCGAACAATTTCGCTAGACTTACACAAACATTAGTGTAATTTTACTCGTTTGAAATGTAATTTTGTCAACTTTGTCCTTTTCGGAGCCATTAATAGTGTAAGTAGACAATTATCACTTATAAGAACTTAAGGTGCATTTTTCTAAAAAAAATTGTTATGTAAGACATCGAAATTTTCACACCGTTGTTTAGATAATTATCACTGTCATCAATTTCGAACGAAAAAAATATGCGGTCATTTAAAAAAAAATTATGTCATCGCTGCCGAAAGTGGATTATCGGATTATTTTTTTCACATAACAAGGTGCCCTGGATGAAATAAAAATCGACGGGTCTCACCGTTTTTTGAAAAAAAAAATTGTTTAACGAAAATATGAATTTTATGCAGAACTTTTTTGCCACGCTGTATAATCTGCAGTAGCTCCTATTATTGCGTTACTACTTTTCGGCAAATAACAATAAATTATTATTACATTTCATCAAAATTTTTTCAATATGTGGTAAATTTATACAAAACTAAAATAATGAAAATTAAACTACTACTAAATCATAAATGATAATGCTATGCGAGTCAAAATTATAATATAATTTTTTATACTTACTTCAAAATATTGAATATAAGGATTAACTTGGAGTAACACAAAATTAAAATTGTCTATAGGTGGATAAACGCGTGAAAATTTGAATAGTAAACACAGGTGCAATTGGTTGATTTTGCTATACTTATGAACTCTGCAGTTCATTTCTTTCACTTGCCTCATAAATTCTACTGTTTCTTCTTACTATTAGCAGTAATATAAACGTAATCATATAGTAGCAAATTTTATATACTGTCGTATTTCACCAAATATATTTTTTTCATGTCAAACATAATCTTCATTGCTTGAACGATACTGATATAAATCAGTTATGGTTAATTAAGTTATTTTGCATAAGTAGATGGTTAATAAATTTTATAATTACCCATACTTAATCATTACGTACTTCGGAATAACCATTTCCTTAATTTAAATGATGTTTTATGTTGGTACGCCCGGTTGCAATGAAGGAATTACCAGGTAGTTAAATACTACGATAGTAGTAAGGAAACATTTATACTCTTGCCAAGCTTGTTAATATTCCCTTCCCAAAACAAAAAATTTTGAAAACCCATTCCTCTTTTTCAAGTGTTATTAAACAGCGTTATCAAATACAGCTCTAAAAAATTGAATATTTACGATCAATTGTTTATACCTTGTATATATTTATGTACCTAAATCACAGGAGTATCGACAAACCTCACTTCTATGACAATCATCACCTACAATTATTAGTGACTGCGAAAAGTAAACAATCTATAACTATGCTACATCATCAAACCCTGTCCATAGTACATCTTGTTCTCTACAAAATAAAGATCTTTATAGATGAAAGCATTCATTATTGAACGTTTGATCTGATGTACTTCAAGAATGCTGCTGACTACCTCATCTTAAAATAGCTAAAGACAATTCCATTTACATCCGGTATCGATTCCAGAGACCAAACCATTCCGATGAATTCCGTGCATAGCAAACGCTGAACTGAAGGTATGCAAACAACTTGGATTAAAACATCATATTAGATTTAGACTCCTACTAACTATATGTCAAAACCAGTTTGTGGATTTGATTTTTCCTGAATATCAATGACTATTTGCCTGTTATTAAGACGATTTATGTGTATAGCCACACATTTCCGATCAGATCTCTAAACTACTTTATGGTTATATGTATACATCTACAGGGGAATTTGCAACAAAAAAAAAATGGGATATACAATGGACCCCTGTGGTCTGCATATTTTCCGCGATTCGGCCACAAACGCTGCGCTTGAATCATCGTTGTAGCAGCATTTGGCACACGTCTGTCTGTCCGTACGCTGTACATTCCAGCGAGAAGCTGCTACAGCATTTTGTATTGCTTCGCTATAAATTAAAATAATATCCTTTAATTCTGCAATGCCATACATTAAGGTCATTTTGAACACTTGGAATATTAACGTAAACAATAATAAACGGTAATAAGTACTGAAGCATTTGTCAAATCAAATAGTATGATGTAACTCCTCCGTTTGGTGATGTGTATATAAAAAAAAATCTTTTTGGATAGTTAGCCGTAAGAAACAAGTACATTTTAATATACACATTACAGTTGTCCAGCAGCGTAGTACTTTTTATTATGACTTTTTTCTCCAAATAACCAAATATGTAAATATATTATAATAGCTTTTTCTGTGATATCGATTATAATCAAAGTGTTTTGGATAAATTGCGAATTAATCTATAAAAATTGATTCCAAAATCAAAAAAAATTGAGTTATGAGAACTTTATAAACACTAAGTTATATTTTCAGTTGATTTATTAGTAAATTAAGTATTGCTAACATTTTGCCTTAGTAAAAACTGTCTAGAAATATATTTTTTTGTATTTTAATAATATATATACTACAAGTACTGCTAATTTTTATTGATAGAAAGAAAAGTTAAATAAAAAAGTTGTTAAAGAATAAACCTTTCTAACGCGGTAGAATTTAATATCAGGTCGAGCAAATAAACATTGCAAAGGTGTCAAAATAATGGATTCTTGATTTTTTAAATAAAAGACCCTGCATTAAATGTATACCTTCGTATCTCTAA